CGTGCTTCATCCTCTCAGAGATGCCTGCCACCAATAAACCGACAATTGCGGAAGATCTGATGCGCCGGCACGCCCGAAGGTTTGATTACATGAACGACTCGATGTGGTTGCAGGTCATCTCTAAAGTTAATAGATTATTTTAAACACTGACCACTCTGTTTTCTATAAGTTTTCCAGTTGTTGCTGGGGACCAGCAACTCAGAGCCTTACTCGGGTAACACTTCTCTCAGCTTAAGATATCTACCGAGGTATGGAAGGATGCTCATCTGAAGGTCACTGTTCAAAAAGCTTAGTTTTACGCTCTGGTGTTTTAGATTCTTGTACAAGAATGAGCGATTCTACTACATCCAATGTAGTATTATGTTCAGCTTTAAGTTTACGTTCTAGGTGTTCTTTAACATGGACGCAGTGTGGTCGACTTGTTTTGCCGTGTTCGTCCACAGATTCTTTACAAGAGATCAAGTTTACGGTATCCGCACTCATACAATCAGCGTCATTACAATTAGTGTAAATTACACAATGTGCTGCACATAGACGGCCATCCAAACAGTTACGAACTATCTGGCGTTTTAAAGTGCCCAGTGATACACCAATTACTTCAACCGAATTCTCTAGATCTGCCCTTTTTTGCATTGCTTTATATCTGTGCTCACTTCTTTAGAAATAAGTGACAGGTTAAACAAGACTTTGTCTTCGTTACACTTGTCTTTTGATAGCTTTGTTTCTTTTCTAAGAGCAACCGTTTTACAGCCGTTGAAAATGGCTAGTTTTCGCCTCAAGTTCAGAGATTCCTCTTTCTGCTCTGATCTTGTGCTCACACTGGTGGTTACTCAAAACGTGTTTCTCGCCAGAGCTCCTTTTGTACGTGGAAGGTGAAAGCGGAAGTAATTTACCACTATGTTTTTGTTACTTGCTTTCAGAAGCGCTTGGTAATGTAGCTGTTTCGGACATACCCGTTCAAACTTTGAAAAGTGCAAGCAATCCTTTCTACGGTTTCTCCTTTATGTTAAATTCATCATCCAGTACCACATAATGGTTTTGCTCCATATATAGTTGGGTTATGTCAAGGCCATAGAACAAAGTTTTTTTTAAAAGTCTGTTAAGCCGCTTGATTCTGTAGTGCTGTATTTCTCGAAATGCTATGGAATAATTATCGACAATAGAAGAAAACCAACTTCGTCGTGATTGGTGACTACAATCGAGAGGCTCGATGTGTGAATATTCTGAAAAAGGCGAAACCACCGAAATGCCAGTTAGTTGTTGTGAATGATTAAATACTGTAATAGCAATCTTGTGATTGCTCATCAAGAAAACAGTGGATTATTGTTGCTGATGTTGTTCGCATGAGCTGTTAGATGCCACCTGCATCTTTTTGTATTCTAGTGCTTTGCTTTAGGGGCGGGTAGGACGGTGGTAGTAATGACGACCATTACGGTCACACCGATGGTTTGATCCCGCTATTGCTTACGAACCTTCTCATCGCTTCGAAGTCAAGACATTGGTTCCGAACTTGTCCAAGAATCACTCTCTGCAACCTAGGTGAAAAAGCTCTAGCTCTGCTATCTTAGGACCCCAGGGAGAATCGACTCGACTAGCATTCCACGACATTCATGATGAAAAAAAAGTCCTTAAGCAGAAGCCGAACCCACGCGTAAAAAGTAGGAGAACCCTCGTTGATGACAGATACGAGGAAACGAATCGAGTGAAGGAAGTGCTGTAATCGGCGTAGTATTTGTGAAAATGGATCATCTAAAAAATGCTAGTTGTTTTGTTTCTTTCGATCGACTATCTAAACCTACTTTTTCGCCTTGCTTAAAGTGACATGATGTATATGTGGGAAGACAAAGGCAATAATACGTTAGTAGGCTCCCGAAAGCCATTAGCTGAGCTAAGTATGCATCCAATGACATTTACTCTCAAGGAATAATTAGCGCTGAAATATTTACCTTTTTGTGCTCCTTTATAAGACTGTGCGTCATTAGAGACCTTGTTTTCGCTGTTGTTAACGTTCCAGAATGTTCCAAAATGTACTCGACGCCGTAAGTCCAAGCTTAAAATCGCGCAGGAAAACACCGCTCTTCCTTTTCTTGAATAGCGCGATTTGAATAACCTAAATTTCTTATGCTGGCGGTAACTAGAAAGATTAACGTAGCAAATGGAATTAACTGATCACATAGAATAAGAGTAGACGTGTTTAAAACGTTAATTAAAAGCAGAAGGTCGGAGTTCAATGACACGAAAGGTATATCACTCTCTTGAAAACCCGATACTTCCACTTTCTCTACTCAGACTGCCTGAATTATTGTAACGTTAGGAAAACTGTAGTGGAGAATTCGATCGAGTCAGCTCTAATTGATTTTACGAGATTAGGAGTGCAAAGCTGGTATTTAATTTTCGGGTAACCTAGTGAAAAATACTATTAAATTCATTCAATTTTATTTAATGATATCGAGTGGATATTCTTGTTATGTGTAGCCTAGCCTTGTGTATTTCCTCTTTTATTCTCCTTTTTTTGCGTACGAAATTCACTTCTCAGTTTTAAATTACATGATGCTTTAACGAAGCATGATTTATAACTACTGTTTTGTTAAAAATCTTGCACGAGGTGATATTTTATAGTCGGCGATCGTTTAACGGCTCCTTATTGATGAAAGCTTCAACTCTGCAGTAGCACCATCCAACAGCATATAGTCATTAAGGATAAACTTCTAATTGGTTTCTGGATCGTCTACGTACTGCGCAGCCCAGCAAGGAGTACGCGATGGAGCCCTTCGACGTTACCGGCCTTTATACAAACGTGTCGAATGACTCCACAATGCAAGCCATACTCGAACTCCTTACACAACACGAAGGAGAAATAAACATGTATGGCTTCAGGATAGAGCACCTGATGGCACTCTTAAAAGAATGCTTGAGCTGCTCAATCTTCAGATGGTCTGGAAAGTACTACGCTCAAATAAGAGGGTTGGCAATGGGACAACGACTGGCTCCAAGCTTTGCCATTGCATTTATGTCTAAGGTGAAAGCACTGGTGACTGATCTCGGGCCGCTACTCTACTGTAGGTATGTAGACGACTGCTTCGTCCTTTGCTCAACACAAGAGGAAATGGACAAATGTTTTGAATTGTTAAACGCACAGTCAGAGTATATTAAGTTCACCCGAAAAAAGCCGAAAAAAAAAGGCTTCCATTCCTGAACGTCCAAATTCACCTGTCAGAAAGTGGCTACATTACAAAGTGGTACCGAAAGCCAAGTAGTACAAACATCTTGGTTCATTACCTCTCCTCTCACCCCTCTCACACGAAAAGGGCGCTTGTAAGAAACATGTTTCGAACAGTAACCAACGTGTGCACGGGAAGAGAGCAGAGAGAAGAGTCCGAGAACTTGGCGGTGCACATAGTCATTTCTAGTTGCTACGAAACTGTAGCTCAGGATAGGTGTAGGAAAAATCCTAGGCATCCAAACGACAACTCTAGTGATAGAAGGGTCCCGTTTATCCTAGCCTTCATCTCAAATTATGTAAGTACAGCTATAAAACGCTGCTTAAGAAGGGCGAGTTTAGAAAATTCGATAAACGTAGTTGAAATACCACCGAGTAATCTTAAGCGCCAGCTAGTCCGTAATCGCCTATATGACCGTCTATGTGCAACTCAAAATTGAATAATTTGCTCCAGTGGTAGAGACGGTGGTTGCATGAGCTCGGGTATAGTTTATCTGATCTCCTGTAAGACGTGTGGTGACGAATACATTGACGAAACGGGTAGACCCCTCTGTGTCCGCATGAAAGAACACCTAGCCGGCAAAAATAGACCAAATACCCCGCTAGGCACGCATAGGACCCAGAGATATAACGGGGAAGACTTTGAAGTATGTGTCACGATCTTCGCACACGAATCAAGAACACAGGCGCGCAAAACTCTCGAGGCATTCTGGATTAATTCCAGAAATCCGGAAATGAACGGCAGGGAAAAATGCCTCATTATCACGCGTGATATAGGGCAGTATATAAGACTGTTATTCTGATGGGAGAGGCAGATTATGCTTCCATGCGATTTCTGTGCGGTTGGTCTTCACGCGACATGCTTAGTGGAAACCTCATAGAAAGCGGTGAGTGTGCAAAGCTGTGTTCAATGTGATTGAAATCTTGGTTTAGAGTTTCTTTGTTTGGTTATGGAGGTGTCTGGCCGAATAGATTGCTATCAACTTGACCTTTCCAGGCTCTGAGGAAGGCGAAATCCGCCGAAACGTCAGCTTATTCGTGAATAAAGAATAATAACACCTCGCGTTTGCTCAACAAAAATACGAAGAATTACTTGATCAATACCGAAGTTAATAGAAAGTCGGTCGTGGGAGTTACTTCTAATTGAATTTCGTAGCGAGAGAATTGATAATTTCCTCTTAGCACAACAACCCACCAGCCACGATCTGTCTGAAAACTTTATTCCTGTGTCACCTGCAGCCCCGTTGATCGTCGAACGCCTGGAGGGGGCGCCAGTAAATCTTCCGTTTTTCCATATCGCGTGCAAAAGTAGCTCAGTGGGTTCCGCTCGCTCTAAGGATTCATTGAGCATCATACTTTTTTTTCAGGCATTTCGTGAACAACTCTGATTATCGGGTCGGTTGTCTTCTCGCAGTACGTTTGACATCCCCAGAAATCCAGTCACTAGCAACCCTCGTTCATCGGTTGTCGTTCATGCGCATTACGTGTCTGGCCCATCTTATCTTCAGCTGTTTGACGAACAGGACAGCAACCATGTTTTTTGAACGTTAATGCAGGTCCGAGCTTCCGATTTCCTCCCTTACTTGTGTGACGCCGCATGCTCCCACCATCGTCCTTTCGACTGCGCGTTCAATAACACTGAGTGGTCTTCCATCCTCTTTACGTAGCCGCCAAGTTTATGACGCATACGTTAAGGCATGAGGTACCGCTGAGTGAAAAACCGAGCACGAAGTCGGACGTTTTCTTTTTTCATTACATCTTCGATGATCTTGGAAGTTCCTCAAGCCGCTCGTTTCCTTCTGCTCAACTCTAGAGCTAAATCATTCATTACGTTGATTTCCCGACCTAGATGGACGTAACTGGAGCATTCGGAGATATTCGTTCCTTTGAGTGTGAATGGGGCATACGAAACCAGTGTTTCCTTCATGAACATCATTCTTGTAAAATTTAGTCGAAGACCGATTTTCCCACAGGCTGTATCAAAATCGGGAAGCACTCGCTCCGCTTGGCTAATGTCTGGTGTTATGAGAACGATGTCATCAGCAAAGCGAAGATGGTATAATTGCCGATCATCGACTTTCACTCCGTCCCATTCCAATGTTCGCATGACGTTCTGGAGGGTGGCAGTAAATCATTTTGGCGAGATGGTATCGCCTTTCCTAACCCCTCTTTTGGCGTTGATGTTCATATTGTTGCAGAAAGGTAATATCCTAGTTGTGAAATTTTTGTAGAACCCGCGAAGAATCTTTATACCCTGAGTAGGGACTCTTTGACTATCAAGGGCTTCCCTGACTGCTTGTATCTCAGTTGAATCCAAGGGGCTTTTTTAAATCAATGAAAGTGGGACAGAGCGGTCTCCTCCACTCTTACGATACTTTACTGAGCCTTCTTGTCATGTGAACCATCGTGCTAAATCCTTTTCGAAACCCTGCTTGGTCACATGGCTGTCCTTCGTTTAGTGTTCTGTTACTCCTGTTTAGGATGACTCGAGTGAAAAGTTTGTAGACTACAGACAGCATGTAGATTGGGCGATAATTTCCCATATCGTGTAGGTCACCCTTCTTAAACGATAGCACGGTCCTGCTAGTCTTCCACTGAGTAGGGACCTTGCATTCAGACAGAAAACGTGTGAAGAACCGGACCACTGTGTTTACGAGGACCTGCGAAAGATTCGTCAGGTGTTCAGATCATTGTAGGTACACATCGTCATCATAGTTCTTTGCGATTTAGGCATCTTAGAATGGCCCTCCTCCCTCTGATCCATATCGTGGTGAGGACCTGGATATGCCCTTGAAAGGTTACGTCAGGACTCCAGGAAGGACCAAGTTGCACGACCAGCAATAGGCCAGCTTCAGTACTCGGCACACTGGGTGCTCCCGTCTATGACGTCAGGCGGTGAGACGACCTGTGAGAGGCCAAAAAATCTCGGGTTGCGCTGGATGTCATTGGAACCGGATATGACGAACACACGCACCGCACGCCATGGAGATTGCTTCTTACTATGCACGTATATTGCCAAAACACCCTCCACAGGCGCTGATCTTCATGCCCTTCTTGTAGCCGCAGATCAAATTAAATTTTATGCGATCGCATTACAAAAGACAAAAATCAAGAAGACCATCATACGCCAACTAAACAACGGGATCCTAGTGATCCGTGGAGAAAAGGTCCCGTCACGAAATGTCGGTGCCGTAGGCTTTGTCGTCGACCCGTCCATTGTCTATCTCGTCGACTCATCCGTGATCCTTTCCCCTCGCATAGCCGTCTTCCGCCCTCAACTGTCGCATCATAAGAAGATCACTATCATAAACTGCTACTCACTGACCGACGTAGCTGATAAGTACAAATTCAATGCGCTCTACTATCAGTTTGAGGAAGTAATCCGCAATGATAAAGCATATCATAAATTTGTTGAAGACTTCAACGACAGAATAGGAAAGGCCAACGAGAGCGAATACAGAATCGGAAATTTTGGATTAGGAGAAAGAAATGAGAATGGGAACCGTCTCACAGAACTCTCAACAGCACGTCTCTTCCATGGGAACTCGTTCTACCATAAGAAAGGCCGCCGCTGGACACGGGAGTCTCCCAACGGCATGAGTCATGCGGAAATCGACCATTTGCTGACAAATAGAAGATGGTGCCTACTTGACAAATCGGTACTCCGTCATTCTGTTCTGGTTCCGGTCACCGCCTTCTTCGCGCGAAAATTCGATTCAGGCGCAAGCTGGAAAAGAACTGTCTTCATCGACCACGAGGAAAAAGTTTGGCTGTATACGACGAGAACATTTCGAACGAAGTGCTGTCGAAACGTGACTGGCAGATTAAAAACCTGACCGAAGACTACGGGCTGCTTGTCGAACGACTGAAAAGCTGTGCCGAATTCGCTTCAGTTCCTCAAGCAAAAAGATCGGATCGCATCTCCATCACTCCTAAGGAGTTGCTCGAAAAGAGAAGGGAACTAAAGCTTGATCCTACTGCAACACGTTTAACATGGCTAGTAATAAATGCCAGCTGCCGAAGAGCTTTGCTGGAAGATCTATAACGGTAGAAACAAAAAAATACTGGAAGCAGCAGAGAAAACAAGCAGTCTGAAAAAATGCCGTCGGGACTTGTGTGATTATAATATTCCGCTGTCAGCCGTGATAAACGAAGATGGAATCTTTAAAACTTTCCGCCGTGATATGGAATTAATAGCGGAAACGTTCTACACCAACCTTTTCCGTCCCACAATCCCCGTTCCGGGCCCTAATATCCCCGCTGGAGAAGAGCCACCTGAAATTCTTCCGTCGGAGGTTCGAGTTGCGATCGAAAGCATGAAAAGAGGAACAGCTCCAGGACCCGATAATATCACTGCCAATTTCTTTAGAGCTGGAGGCCACAATTGACATGTACTTCTCGCAAATCGTACGGCAGGATACATTTAAAAAGAGGAAATCCCAGACCAGTGGAGGACGTCGCTCACGGTTATCCTATCCAAGAAACGAGACCGAAGGGATCTTCGTAACTATCGTCCCATATGCTTGTTAAGTCAAGCTCTTCGCGGAGATTATCCTCTTGCGCATATCAAGGACACTGGATGAGGCGCAACCTGTCGAGAAGGCAGGATTTCGAAAAGGATTTTGCTGCATGGACCACATCCAAACCGTGTCCAGGGTCATCGAAGTTTGTCGGAAATACCACTTGCCTCTAGTCCTAGCCTTTGTCGACTATGAGAAAGCGTTTGATAGTGTCAAAACAAATGCAAATCTGTCAGCGCTCGTCGACCAAGGAGTGGAGCCGTCCTACATAAGGACTCTGTCCGATCGTTATCGGAACTGCACTACGAAAATGCAGCTTTTCCACCGACCTCTTACAATACCCATAGAAAAAGGGATTCGACAAGGCGACACAATATCGCCAAAGCTGTTCAGTGTCGCACTGCAGTGGATAATGAAGTCACTCGATTGGGATGAGAAAGGCATATGTATTGATGGAAAATTCCTATCAAACTTTCGTTTTGCCGACGACATTATCGCCTCAAGAAGTATCAGCGAAGCAGAGGTGATGAACGAGCTTAATGAAGCGGGGAAAAAGATTAGACTTTGCATAAATCGAAAGAAGACCCAGTTCATCATGGTGCGAAGGCAAAAAAATTGAATTGGATGGCTCCCTCATTGCAGAGACCACCTCGTACGTTTACCTTGGGCGATCAATGATCATGGAAAACAACATGGACGAGAAACTAGGTAGAAAATCCGCGCTCATATCTTTGATTCTACGGTCCTCCCAGCGCTCTGTTATGCTGCAGAGACGTAGGTTGACAGTTCAACTACGTCAAGAATTCGCACTACTTACAGAGTGCTTGAGCGATGTCTTTTGAAACATAACCGGCACTCTCAATATGTAACCGGAATGCGAAGTTCTGATCTTCGAAACCTGTCACATCTTCGAGATGCAGGAGAATATGCATCGATAGCGAAACATAGATGGCCCGGTCACATAATGAGAAGAGCCGACTACAGACGGACGAAAAGAACAGTAGAGTGGACTCCAAGAGAATGCAAACGTCTCCTTGGAAGACCACCTACACGGTGGGAGGGCGTGTTCGTAAACAAAGTTAATCAGCTGTACCCGCAGCTGCAGTTGTTTTATAGATCACGGTATGAGACTCGCAAGCGCTGCCATGCTCGAACAAGACCCCCACCATGGACTACGATTGCGAGAGAAAGGAACGAATGGCATATGTGCTGGGGTCCGCAGAGCTAGTGAAAATGGACCGTCCAAGTATCCAAGTAAGTAAGAATGGCCCTTAGATTTTGCCAGCCTCTCCGTACTCGTCCACTCCAACGCAGCCGAATCGGGGGCTCTTTCGAGGTCAGGGAAATGAGGTCCGTTTCTCTTACTGCGTTTAGCATTTTGATATCCACCTATAGCTTCCTGGGCTCTGAACGTGGGGCTGGGCATATTCACGGGTAGCTTGGCAGTCTTTCCCAGAGTGGACATGGAGCTCATTTGGTGGAGGCGACTTCTAACCGCCTCATCTGTGCTCACCTGACCCTTGTTTGCAGGCTTTTGGCCGAAGTGGCTTGTAGAATACAATGCGGATAATCTAGAACCCACCGAAACACGCTTGCATGAATACCTCGCGTAAGCACAGAGAGTATGTGCCAAATCGGCGCAGCAGGAACACGGAGCCCATCAGCTGGATCCACCTGCGCCTCAGGAAAGCAAAGGTGGCTTTTGGTCCTCTGTTAACCCTCCATCCGCCACCTGGGGACGCGTCGCGTAGCCTCGCGACTATCCAGCACGAGATACCTCATGCGAGAGAAATCCGTGGGAAAACTCTATTAAGCGAATTATTACCTGTACCATCCGAAATGATGGTGCATGTGGCGCAGCGCTTAGAGGCGCAATACGCACATTGTTGTTTTTTTCGATTCGGTGACCGAAGCAAACTAAGACCCCTCCTACTTGGTGGTCCTCAATTTTGTACCAGGCTGTTCTAGAAAAACGAAAACGGTAAATCAATAAGCCCGTAAATCACTGCATGAAGCAAATGTGTGCTCAGCCCTCTTCATGAAGAGTTTATTGCATAGCTCATACCTGAGCAAGGGGTCGACACCAAAGGCTTCGCTTTTTTTCCTTGTCATCTGCTCTTTTGGTTACTGTCACACATCTTCAACTAAGGCCAGTTAAGTATGCATTTGTTGCTCCTTTTACATGACAATATTTCCCTTTTACTTTTGTTCACTTGAGATACACGAACGCCATCGTAGATCGTTGTAAAAAAGCCTGACCATTATCGGGTCCATTTTATTCCTACTGTGTACTCGACCACTCATTAAACGTTTGTCGTCAATAAAAATCACATGTCCGACATCCCATCTTGTTCCCGCCATCTTAGCACAGGCTACCACCAGCGTCGCTTTTAGACCCTCTCCTTGGTAAGAATTTCGTATTGCTTCACCTTAATGGCTTCTTTTACGCATAGCACGATCCTCTTTTCACTTAAAGATACAATAAGGTAACATTTTCTTCACGATGTTTCTGTTTTTGATAGAAAACATTTATTGATCGACTCTTTTCCTGTATATGTGACATGACATGAAAATGCATTTGTTGCGA